CCACTTTGGTTTCATCTGTCTGTTTGTTCAGATGAAAGTTTGCAGACCTAAGCTGTGTTATTTTTAGGGAAGATGCTTTCTCCTTGCAACCCTACCAAATAAGCCATACTTGTTCAGTTTTCTTCTAATTGTGCTTTTATGAACTTTAACTATTGCTAACTGAGGTTTGTAGAGTCTGAGATGTAGCTCCTGGTTTTTTGGGGGGGGTTAAGTTTTTCTGAGTATTGGACGGTCTGACCTTGGAGTGAATTTGCTAGAACAGCCACTCTTAGGAAGACTGTGGCATTATGTTGATACACAGCTGAAAGCTCTGGTTTTATAGAGGCGCTCACACTTGCTGATGCAAACGCCTCTATAAACATGCACATGGCTGCTACTCAGCCTTTTAATTCCTAAAAGGAATTAAAAGTAGTAAGTGTGTACTTAGTTTTCCACACACTGCATCTGCGTTTTGGCTTAATATTTTTTAAATAATGATACACAGTAATATGTCATGTTTTGTAGTCAATCTGACGTTGTATTGTGCCTAATCTTCCTGCTAAGGACCAGATGTCCTGACACATAAAACCTCATAACCTTATTAAAGAGGATGAATTGCTTATTTGGAAACTAAATGGAACTTTGCCATCATCAAAGTTATTATTTCCACTTGTGTTTTTGCTGATATTAAAGGGCAAAACATTTCATGAGATCAGGGTATTTCTACTAATGTGTAAGATCACTCGTCCATAACACCTTTAACCTTTGTATCCTCCAGTATGTGATGTTTTTCTAAACAATGCTGATTTAAGCCATAGACTGTATATAAAAGATGGATGTAGCTACTGTGATGTTTAAAAATATATAAAAGAAGAAAAGAAGAACTACCACATTTGAATAAAAGGGCAGAGTTTGCAGTGTTACCAGCTAATACTAATGGTAGATCTGGTGACGTCCCATTTACATCCTGTGCAGAAGAAATCAGCTACAGAGACGTCGGCTGCATTTTGTTCTCATTGTCACTCATTGGCCAAGAACTTGGGACAGACAAGCTGCTAGCCAATGAGTGTTCCCTGGAAAATCATCCTTTATAAAATGTAGAATGACCAAAATGTAAAAAGTAGATTTAATGTTTTATTCATTAAGATCTGAGACAACAAACTCATCAGGAGAATGTCTACAAAAGTCTGTAACCAGGAAGAGCCGTGTTTGACTCACTTTTCAGTGAATCAAAAACATCCATCTTTTATACGTTTTCTATGTTTTCTTGAAGCCTGATGTGGTCATTGCAGGGACTACAGTTGTCCAAAAGGACGAAGAGACTCGTTGTGCCATGACTAATGCTGTAACGCAAAACATTTACATCTCCACAATACAGCACCTAAATAGCTTGGACTAATACAACTTCTAGATTAAAATATCTGACTCTTTGATTACTCTGGATATATAGAAAACAAATAGTTTATCTTTTTTCTTTTTCAGTTAAAAGCATCAGTCTGGGGCAGCTCTACAGGCGGTGGCAGTCAGAGAGCAGTGAAATTAAACTAGAACAGTTTTTGCACCCTAAAATCAAAACTAGCATAAAAAACTGGTTGACTTGACCTCAGAAGCAACTCATTGCTTGACACTGAGCAGAACATTAGCTCAAACTGAGTAAAGACGTGTTTGCCATTAAGGAGCTAAAATGTAAAGCGCTTTACGTTTGAGAAGCACCGCGAGGCATGTTTTTCTTCTCCACCTCTAATGGGCCCGATCCCTGTTTTTTGCTAGGACATTTAGATATAGCATCGAATGTGGCTACTGCAAGTGGACACAAGTTGTTACACTGACCAGCTTTGTTACTTCAAAGGGCCTTAGCGGCATGAACGAACACACACACTCACACACACACACACACGCAGTAAGGGTAGAAGGAGAGATGAGAGATGTAGGTCTCGTCCGACAGCTGAGATATAGCACAAGAGCCCTGGGGAGTTTCAGGGGATTTCCACCGAGGGAATTGGACACGTTGTCTGATTTACTCTAACACTTTGGCTAAACTTATGATAAAAGTTCTCAAAGGAAGCAGCATTACTCTGTCATTATCCGTCTCTACACTCATCTGTCTGCTTTTTCCTCCATGTTGTTGTTTTTTTCATGTGACTGTTGAGGACTGTCGTCTTTCTTAAATAATAATAAATAATAATAATAATAATACCCAAAAAAAAAAGAACAAAAGAATGTCTTTTGACCTAAAAGTGAAGCTAATGGTGCACGAGGAAGAATGAGAGGAGTGGAAGCAAAGCAGCAGGAGAGAGGGGCTGAAAGAAAACACGTTCATTTTTATCTGGTTGCTTCTTCTTTTTTTCACTGAGAGTCAAGGAATGCAACCAGGAATCTGGTGAGAGATAAAGAAAGGAAGGTGGATGGTACTGTACTGTACTGTGTGTGTGTTTTCTTATTGTGCAAGTCTGCGTCAGCTGGAGCGCGTACACTCCATAATGTTTCATTCATTAAATTTTAAGTTAAAAAGTGTTGTTTTAGCCACAAACAGGGCAGGATGTATGTAGGGAAGAAGAAACAGGTCTCTTGTGTGCTCTGGGAGGAAACCCCGGTCAAGGTCAGCTAATGTATAGTCTTAGATTTTGCACATATTTCACTTTAAGTCTTTTGGGTCTTTCTACAACTTATTTTCTGTTATCTAATGTTTTAAAAAAAGACTTGTAGATTATTCTCTGTGAGATAATACCACAGCAGAAACTGGACACAAAATGACAAAAAACAACCACAGAGGCCAAATCTTACTGTATCAAAACAGTCACAAGACATTTAAACAGGGAGAAACTTTCAATCTCACACTTTGAGTACAAAATGTTTCACTGACATTTTCTGTTTTATGACTCCAATATTAATACACTTCAAAGAAAAGAAAGAAAAATATAAACAGTTTCTCGATTCATCCAAAGAGAAGTCTAATATATATCAGTTAATTTACATCTTTCCCCCTATGAAAACAGTTCAGTTCCCATGATGAAGAAGTATTATTTACATCTTGACCATAATGTCTCGGCCACAGAGCCAGTGTGACCCGGCAGACATATTTTAAAGCTCGCAGTGCTGAAAACACTGCCAAAGTCCAGCAATATTTACACACCACAGGGACAAGAGACAACTGAGCTCCAAGAAAAAAAAGTCACATTAATCAACAACAACAACAACAAAAAAGTTCAGCTTTTTAAATACAGCCGTAAAGTCATGTTTGTGGCAACGAGATATTTTATGCAGACCAGACAAAACACCAAAAGCTTTCACAGAGCGAGTGCTGCAAAGATGCAAGTTATTCTCTTGATTTGATTCTTTCAGATTAAAAGCAGCTTATTGTTAAAAGGACGACAAAAAAATCTCTCTCTCTGCTTTTAATCCGTCCAGTGAAAGCAGGTTTTATATGCAAAATGGTAACATGTGCGCCTTCTTAAAGTAGTTTTGCAAAATAAATATTTACAACAGCTGAAAAGGCGCTAAGCTGTAGGTTTGTAGGCCGCTGACTATAACCTTTGACCTCACTCTGCAGCATTGAACAGTTAAGATCTGGCGTCCTCTGGAACACATCCTGGGCATGGAAATGTAAAATGAAAGATTTGCATACATTTTTAGAACATTTACACCCAATGTTTGCCTGAAATTATATTTTATGCAGGTGGAAACACGTTTTACTTTCAAGCAAAACTATCAGGTGAAGCTTTTTGTTTTTGTTATCTCCTCTTGGTTCTCCTGAAACATGGGTACAGAGAATCTATATAAAACTGATTATGTATGTTATTTACTGTCAACAAATCCCATAAAAAACACCATCATCTGGGGAAGCAGGCTGCACTCAGACATTACTCCTCTGTGTCACAATAATTAGGCTACAATAATTAAACATACCAGCATTGCACTGACTAGCATGCGCCATAATTAGCGCCCGTTTGGAGAGAGTGCAACACGGGTTATTTTTTTATGGCTACAGTTTACGAACGTCCCCTAAAGGCGTCACAGCCATGAAGTTACTGAGAACAGCTACAAGGATACACTCGCTGAAGGTGTGTGTGTGTGTGTGTGTGTGTGTGTGTGTGTGTGTGTGTGTGTGTGTGTGTGTGTGTGTGTGTGTGTGTGTGAGTGTGGCAGGTTGGAGCTCCTCCTCCAAACACAGAAGTCATCTGTGACTGGAAACCATAGAAAATAGAGCTATCTTTGTGAGAAGCATTTTAAGACCAACAGTGTGATGAAGGATTTTTATTTTTTTGCACCGTTCACACTTTTTCTGAGTCCGAGTTTTAAAGGTATAGTTAGAATTAGGGCAAGGGTTTGGTACTTGACTGTGAAGGCTGGAGGTAAAAGGGCTTTGGATTAGATTTATGTTAGCCATGTATATGTGGCCCTCCTCTTTAGACACCGAGTGGAGCAGGCAGCAACTTTTAGCTAATATATGAGGCTTAAACATCCAAGCAACCTCAAACGTGACACTGCAAATTATCACAGAAAGCAGCTGTCAAGCTATGCGTAGATCGACATACAGAGATTTCTTCATTTTTTAGTAATTTAATTTCATACACTCGCTGCTGAGCCAGATCCTCAACAGACATCAGTCTGAGAACTACGTATTGCTGTTTGAGAAAAACCTGCTAATACTCAGGTGTTTTAGGAAGTTATTCCACCTTAAAGAAAACATACATGGCCAAATGTTGTGAGTTTGGAGCTCAGAATAACATAGATATATTGCAGAAATGATAATATAGAGAGAGCATGAAAATATGTAGACGTGCTGGTGAAAACAGCGCGTTTGAAGTACTTTGTTTAAGATAAAAAACCTCAGTGGGAAATAACCATTGAGTACTCTACCAGGACTATGACTGGCCAAAGTAGCATCTTACCAGATGACATAGCAACTCTGCACGAGGGTGTTTGGGGAGGTCGCTGCGATTTTCACACATTGATGATTTTGTTTTTGGATTTTTTTGCATTTCTTGACAGAAGCAAAAACACATGTCAGTAAAAGAAGATTATCATTTCCATCAGCAGTGATTTATATAAGAAGCATGGCACTGTTCTGAGACACCTCCCTATTTCATGGTCACAGGACACAGCAGGTTTTAAGAACGAAGATGAGATGCTTAAGTCAGATACAGCATAAAAGGTGAAGCACAGTTATAGGTATGTTGCAAGTGGAGAGCTTAAATGAGAGAGTCAGCTGAATGGGTAAGGAAGGTATGAGCTGATCTGAGCTGGCCTTGAGATCAACTGAACTGATGAACTAAGTAATATACTGCAGTTTCCAAGACTACATCCCCTTTGTCAGAATTCTCCTTGATTTTAGACAGATTTGCATTTCACCTCAGAGTGCAGACTGTGGTGTGTAGCTCGTAAAATTTAAGTCCTAAATGTCAGATTAAGACTCCCACGGAGGCTTTTTTGTTTTGGGGTACGCAAAATAACATGTTAATATTTTAGTCTTGGAAACGGGCTGCAGATACACACTCAGATGGACAGCTGGAGCTTGGTGAGGTTCCTCTGGTGCATATTGTGGTGTCGTACCAGCTCGTCGCTTCGGGCAAACTTCTTCTGACAGTTAGGCCACCGGCAGTTAAACGGCTTCTCACCTGAGAGAGAGGTGGGTGGAGGACGGTGAGGCAACGACAGGAGGGGGAGAATTAGCACCAGAGGGATTTAAAATCTGGGATTTCTTCGAATATTTTGCTGCTATATCTCTTCATGCATAGTAGCACCAGTCTATTAACATTCTTTTTATTTCATAGGAATTAAAATGAACATTTTCAGCTATAATATACATGTATATAAATATTAAATGGATGAAGAAGAAATGAAAAAATAAAAGTTTACGCACTTGTTTTACCTGTATGAGTCCGTGTGTGTGTCTTAAGGTGGTCAGACCGAGAGAACTTTCTCTGACACGTCTCGCATTGGAACGGTTTTACTCCTAAACACATGTACAGTAAGCATGCACACGCATTCAGCACGAGTTCACATAAACACATACGGAAAACACACATTCAACATCACACACACACACACACACACAGAGGGAGATAGAGAAATACAGTAGAGCAAAGGCTTGCAGAGAAGCCATTCCAAAGTTTGGCCAGCATTTAGCAACTTCATCTGAAGTGAGTTCAGTACAGTGCACCAATGAACACAAAACTTTAAAGACGGCACTGTCTTTAAAAATAAACAAAACAAAAACAAAGCTGTCATGCAAAAAGCAGAGGAGAGCGAGAAGAGAGAGGGAGAGAGCAAAAGGCCAGGAAGAAATAAAAAATGAAGTCAGACAGCCCGCGGGAGTAAAACCAGTCAAACCTGTGTGCCTCCTCTGGTGTCTTTTAAGCTGGTCAGAGCGCGAAAATCTGCGGCCACAGTCTGTGAACTCACACTGGTAGGGTTTCTCCCCTGGACAGAGACAAGAAAAAGAACACAGAGGATTAATTTAGACATCCTTTCAACTTATTTTATCACATACTCACAGCTGGTCACTCTTGCAGTGATGGAAAAAAGCAGGATCTGTACAGATGAAACCAACAGGCCAGTTTATCAGCCCGTCCAGAACATTGTGCAGCAGCTTTGAACCTGATTGTTGCAACGTGATCAGTCATGCAGGAACACCAACACTCATATTACCAAAGATCACTTATAAACATATTTTTCAAAAAAAAAAATACAATCCAATTAAAACGCGTTGCTCAAAATATGATTTTGCATAGTCGCAGTCACTGTTCAGTCACACTGAATGAATGAGAGGTAGCAGCAAAAGATCCAGGCAGCTGCCTGACATGAAAGCAGAACAACAATATTTAACCACATAAGCAATTAAACAAACAAGCAAATAAACAACAAAAGAAACCAATAAAAGAGTCAATAACTTGATAAATAAAAAAATCAGGATCAGATGAAATTGAGGGAAAAGAATTAAGGAATAAATTTGCTGGTTCTGATCAAACTTTTGACCCGACTATATACAGCATATAAAGATCACCTTGGGCTCTGGGTATTTCCTGAAATCCAACAGACTAAATGAGTAAGTAAGAACACGATTAAAAAATGTATTAATGGGTAATTAACAAAATAATTATTTAAGCTATAAAATGTGTGTGCAAAGGTAACCACAACACAAAAACCAAAGCTTTTAAGATTTATATCAGGGTAAGTTGTGGACAACATTTTTTTAATACATTTTCAAACACACTTTGTAAAAATAAATAAATAAATAATAATAATGAATAGTATTGAAGAGATTAATGGTCTCATTATGGCTGTTTTATTGTTTATAATAACAAAAAAGCATATACTCAGAATAACACTGATTATTTTTAACTAGTGCTATTCTGAGAGTATGCACAGTGACATGTTCTAAAGTTTTAGGTAATTTAGAGATTATATGTAAAATCTGAAGGGCTCACATCTGTTAGTGCATGCACGTTTGGCTTTGTTTTTGACTTTTGAGTCATTGAAAATAAAATCACCACAGTGAAAGGTTCTTTTCTGTGCAACAGACCCAACTGAAAATCTCTTTCTCTATATTTCACCAAACAGGAAATATTTCCTGGCAAGAGGAGACACGGAAATCAGAGCCAATGGAAACTTCATTTGAAGAAGTTTGTCCTCCTGAAGCTCAAAAAACGTAAGCGAAGTAGAAAGCCTTTATTGAAGTTAACAGCACTGCTGGGAAATGTGTGCAGAACGCCGCTGCTGTCGGCAGTCATGTGATGAATGTGTCAGCAGAGCGTGCGTCTTCACCTGTGTGTTTGCGGCTGTGCATCTGCAGATGGGAGAGCTTGAAGTAGCGCTTGTTGCATCCTGGGTAGGCGCACATGAACGGGCGCTTCTCGCTGCTTTCTGACCGCATGATGGCTGGAGCGATGCTGGGCACCCGACGCACGTCCTGCACCCACCCACCCACACACACACACACACACACACACACACACACACACACACACACACACACACACACACACACACACACACACATATTTAAAGCTAAACTGCTCAATGCAGAATTAACAAAAACTCTCCCAGGACATCAATAGCCGAAGCAACAAAAAAAAATTGCCTGTTTTCTAAATTACATTTAGAAAACAGGCAATTAAATCTGTCCTGCATGTAAATGAGTGCATGAGATCTCCATGTTGGGGTTCATTATGATGAAATGGTCATATATTCATTAGATGGGAATTAGCAGTAAAATGACCCCAGGCTGAGTGCAGCCCAAAGGGAGCAGTTAGTCACGCTTTTTAGACCGACCCCCTAACAGTGCCCCCCACTGCATCGCTCACAGCCGGAGGAGAAAACAGGAAAACACACGTGACCAAAGGGACAAATTCAGTGTTTACATTTATTTACACTACCAGACGTCTTGGCGTTTCATTTCACCTGCTGGTTATTTAATCTACATTGACACGGTAGTACACACTCTTCATGTTTCCTTTAGCCGTCCGTCTTCTGTTTCCACTTTACACCCCTCCACCTCATTCTTCCCTTTATCACTTTCTCTTTTCTCCCTCTTTCCCTCCACACTGCCTCCCATCTCTCCTCCTCCTCCCCTGTTTGCAGCATCTGCTCTTCATTTCCTCAGCGTTTAGCATAATGACCAGCGATTAAGAGGTCAGCCCTGTTCTAATTAGAACTGTTAACATTAGAGCTGTTAAGAGTCACCTACCGTGCCCATGTGAACATCGAGGCAACTGATCAGAATCCACAGTGTGTGACACACAATACAAACTCTTTGCACTGATAGTTTATTATGTGTTAATGTAGGGAGTCCTGATGCGTTTAATATTGGATAAATGCTTTAAAAAATATGTATATGGTTAAACATACAGCACTAAATACATTTGTTCGATGAAATCTGACAGCATTTTATGATTCTGCACTGAGATGATGAACATTTAGGATTAAGAATTACAGATCTGATTCTTCATTTTTATTTCGGGTTATAATTTAGTCTCACAACCCTGCATAGCGAGTTACACAGCTAGACAGTTTAAGCTGTCTGTGCAGTGGGTTTATTTACAGCAGTAGCCTCATTAACTTTGGTAAACGTTTTTGCTGTGGCTCAAAGGAGTTACCTGCTTACATTGGGTAGATATTGTTAAATCTTCAGAGATGTAGAGGACATGGCTGATTAAAAGGTAAACTGTCAAGAAAAACTTTTATGCAATAGAAGAGCATGAAAAAAATACACAAATATCAGCATAAAAAAACTATTTTCTTCAAATATTGATAATTAAATATTATTATTCTAGGTGTCTTTCTACCATTTAAGTCATGTATATTACTTTAAAAATGTGATCTAAAATGACATATCCGTTTAATTAATTTTGACCACACTGGGCCTCCATACGAAATAACCCAGATCTAAGAAGTAACGTGTTTGCTGAAGGTCTGTTTAGCTGATTTAATGTGAGACCAACAACAACGACTTTGTGAGACTAAAGTGTTATAGTTAGCTGATCAGAGGCTTCAGTTTTTAACACTCTGTGTAATAATGACTGCAGGCCATGAGGTAATATTAATGAAGAGTGAAATTCCACGGCTGTCATCTGTATTTCCTTTGGCAGTGACTGGGAATTAGTGTAATCCCTGTAATAAAAATATGGAGCAAAGCATCATTTTGCTGCTCAATCTGTTATCTCACTTTTTAGCAGCTCTTAAATTATACTTTAAAAAGGAACAGGAGTGAGATATTGTTTATTCTTTTGTACCGAGCAAGATCTCAGAGAAGGAAAAGGAACAGAGTGAGTAATGAAGCAGGCCCCAGAAAGAAAGATCTCAAAAAGTCCTGTTGTGGACTAAGAGCAGGTCTGGAGAATCTCCTGCTCCCTGTCCTTTAGAGCAGCTGACAGACAATAATTAAAATCTAATGATTTATTAACATGCTGATCCCTGCATGGAAACTGCATCGTTACCCAGCGTAACCCTGAGTGTGTGTTTCTCCACTGCTAATGGATTTGTGGAAAAAGATTCCTCTTGACTTTTAAAGTCGCCTTATAAGAGCCCCTGAATGTGTGTGTGTGTGTGTGTGTGTGTGTGTGTGTGTGTGTGTGTGTGTGTGTGTGTGTGTGTGTGTGTACGCGCAGGTATTTGTGTGTATGGGTTTGTAAATCTGTGCTCTGCTGCATATCAGTCCTCTTCACGTAGCCTGTTCATTGCATCAGACTCTCCACCACTCATCTTCTTCATTCCACCCATTAGAAAAATACGCTCTGGCTCAATCGTCTGTTTTTGCTCTTCCGTTTATCAAAGTGACCTCAGGTGTTTTTCAGTATTGTCAAGCATGTGGCTACACTCTGATCTTAACACATGACCTCAGGGTGACCTCTTGACAAAGAGTTAGGCGCATGCAGGAGAAGCAGTAATGTGGGTTCCTACCTGTAATCCCCTGAAGACTCCATGTGTGTGTATGCGGTACTGCGTGCTGCAGCTGTATACCATCGGGGTGCTGGGGTCACTGTCATAACTGGCTGCATGGCTACAAACACAGATAGAGAAACAGGCCGTTTTATTAGCTGCTGCTGTTGTGGTCTCTAAACCCACCAAGTACCAGACGTCTGTGAGACGTGATTTCTGAAGGTCTGTCATGGCCACACGTTTGATCTTAGACATTCGTCTGCATCACACCTCACCAGACAGTTTCCAAAATGCAAATGCAAGTATATTTGGTGTTTTATTGTTCTCTTTGGGAATAAACATGTCCATGTCATTTACATATGCTTATACATATAACCCTGTTTTCCTGGGGTTTCAGTGCATGGTGTGCTTATTAGCACAAGGATCCAGAAAATCAAAACTTACTGTTCTCAAACAGAGCGGCAGGACAGACAGCGGTTAGTTGCATCCCTGTTGCAAAGGAAGAAAGCTCTGGATTTGGATTTGCTGGTCAAATAAGGACCATGCAGAGGTGCTGGAGAGGAAGACCGTTCTTTTTAACCAAGTTTAGATGTAAAGAGTCTTTTTAAAGACCGGAGAAGACATCTGACATCTGATAAAGTCGTCTTCCAGTCAATTCAATCAGCTCCCATGTAGCTAAACTGGCTGGCATTGGTACAGTAAACATACTGGTATATGTGGTGTCCGGCATGGAAGCTGTTTTTTATACAATCGAGTTCATTTAGAAATGGCGTGATCGCAGAATGACTCAGACTGTGGCACAGAGTCAAGCGGTGTCGTTGTGTTAAATTAATGCCTATTTTGGACATTTCAAAATAAATGACAGCTTTATTTTTATTATTAATATAATACTAATATACCGTAAAAGCATAAGGAGCACTATTTCATTACTCCCGAAAAGTTGACTCCAAAAATCAAGTGTCCACTGTGCTGCAGTATACCGTGCTACTAAATGACGGTAGAAGCTCAAAACCTCTTCAGAGTGAAGTCAGAGAGTCCAAGATGAATGTGAAGTGTACACACACCAGATTTTAAAAATGCAATAGCACGCAAATCTCTGTGTTGGCTGGTAACATTATTACCCTGTCACTGAGAGCCCATAATACAAAACACAGAGTCCACTGTACTGATGTCACCAGTGGTGATGTATGGTGCTGATTTCCTCGTTTGTGCACAGGCCTCTGCTTTTTGGGGAAAATATTTGGCCAAAAACACAAAGTTTTTTCCTCATACAAAATCAGCTTCACTACATGGAAGTGTCACATCTGAAATGATATAATCAAAGAATATACTTGCAACTAAACTTAGATGGCAAACACACTTCAGAAAAATGAGCGTATTAAATGCTAAACTATTTCTCTAAAGAGACTATTATTATTATATAAATTAAGATTAACCCATTAACACCTAGCATATCATATTAGATACAAATAGTTTTTGTGAGTTTTTCAGGCTTCTACATCATCAGTGTGTTTTTTCCCCACCAAAAAAATCTAATATATATAATATATTTCTAAGTAATAAATTGCAAAAGAAATGCCATATGTAGCAAATATGACACAAATTAAAACACATATGCAAATGAATATCTAGTTTGTTGTTTTAATTGTCAGAAGATTCAATAAACACTCGGTTTTTTTTAACAAAATTGAATTTTCTAGCAGTAATTTCATGGTTCAGGCTTTAAACAGTTAATATTTTACAGTTGATCAAGGAAAATAATCAAGCAGCTGCTACAGAAACTCTTCCAGTCACGTATTTCACATGACTTAAAGGGCAGAACAAAACCTGCTCTGTTTGACACAGCTGCCTCTCATATCTTCTTATCATAACACCCAGAGACACAGAAAGCTCTTGTCTATGAAATGTGTTATATTTCAGTCTGTCTAACCAAACGAGGAGGATGGGAGTTTGCATCCTGTGCCGCTGCAGTGGAAAACGCACACCGTACAGCCGAGCGCGTATAAGGTGCTCTTTGTCTGCCTCGATTATCCCAAAGACAGGAAGACAGTCACTGCAACTGACTTTACATTGCACTGCAAGCTCCTTTGCTGCTCCTTATTCATTCATCTTTATGTCTATGCGATTAGTAATAGTGGGTGATGTACTTTACATAATGAGAGACCCAAGTCAGTCAGTCCTCTGACAACCACCTCGCTGTGAGGCTGGACAGCTGTGGATGTGACCGCAGACGTTTGTGGCATTTTACATCACACAGACGTAAAACAGAAGGAGATGACATCTGACAATATAAAAGATATAACTGTGTAATGAAGAGTTGTTTGAAAATATGTAGTTCTGTTAAGAGTGTAAAACCAGAAAACACTACGAGGTCCTTCAAAAGGCAAAATAAGACAAGGCTGTCCATTAACTTCATCTTGTCATGGCGAATGTACTTACAAGCTATCCTTTGGTGTTCACCCTTGAAGCATCAGGCTAGGGTATCGGTATCATGTGTGTCAAAACCAGAATACCTTCCTAACTGCCACATGTACTTTTTCAGAGCCCAAATCTAAGTAGCAAGGTGAAGCAAAAACAAAATCCGCGAGTTAAAAATGGAGAACAGAATGCAAAACACAAATGTCCTGGTGGGACAGAAATCATGGATCACAAACCTGCAACTCATGTCATCCTGTCAAGCTCACGAGGCAGACTCTGTAGGGATGGTTACCTCTTGGCAGCAAGAATGTCTCAAATATAAGTTAAATAAAGGATGTCTCATCTTATATATCTGCAGCTAGAGCAACAAACCACGGATGCTAAAGACCTGTAATGTGTCTAATGAGGAGATGCAGGAGGAATCTGAGAAAACAGCGTTATATTTGCTCAAAATATCAAGGTTACAGCAAAAAGACTGAAAGCAGAGAGAAATAATACTGTAACAAATAAAAGGTATATAAAAAATAGTGTTGTTACCCTACAGTGTTTCTGCAGAAAAGAGTCAGAAATGAGCAGACTAGCAGTTTTTGGGCTAATGCAATCTCACCAACCGGTAGCTCCAGCTTCATTTTTTGCAGCACATATCTGTGCAAACTTTTCATGTCAGGAAAAAGAAAACAAATGCATTTCTTGAATAAAATACTCACATTTAAGGCAACTTTCAAACAGGTTATATAGTTATAGCAATAGCTGGTAAGAGCTACAACTTCAGGCACAACTTTGAAGTTTGATCTGTGATGAATTTCAGATTGATCACATTATGAACGATGAGTGACGACGTGCTTCCACATTTCCATACGGAGTTGTTAGTGAGTGTCAGAAACTCCTGCAAGGACTCTTGTTTATCATTTCTAATCACTTTGATCCAAAAAAGTGTTGCAAAGTCTAAAGAGGGTCAGCTATTCAAATTCTTCCTCCTTCATGGTTGTAGGTTGAGCAGACGTTAGTGCACACGCTCATCTGCAGAACCATGAAGGAGATCTTCCAACACGTGCAACCACTGTGTCACTCTCGATCAGGTGTGATGTTTGAATGCAAAAAACTGAAAACACATCTATGACGGGAACTAATGATTTGCTATGATGTGCTAAAACAATAAAACTAATAATAACACCACACATCAGTGCTTTATGATACTGAGAGAGTGTAATGGCAAATAATCAGAGTTGCTGAACCACATTTGAAATACGTGGTCTCATATTTCTACAGAATGTCTCTGGCACTACTGCAGGTCTTCTCCAGCCTTCACTCTTTCACACTGAGCAAACAGCTGATGTGCACTTTATCGTTTTAGTGTTTAGTTTCCAAATCGAAATAATAGGAAGGGAGGAATCTGTACTTCCTGTCTCAGCTCAGCTCCCCTACACTTCCACTTCCTCAAATCCTGCTCCTCCCCTTCTTTCTGCTTTCCTTTCTCTTCCTCATCATCCTCATCACTCCTCAACCCTTCATTTCTCCTGCTGTCCATCACAGATGCCACAAAGTCAGAGACAGCCCTCTGAAACAGTAAAAATCACTCAGCTAGCATGAAGCCACAGGCAAAATGAAATATTTTCTATTTCAAAAGTTTATTTAAGTGAATAAAACCACATTAATACCGGCTTTAAAGAGCCTCAGCCCACCACACATACACACCCACACTGCTCTCACAAAACAGCAGTACCACACAGTACCACACCTTTATCCATATACAAATCTCTATTACACACACACACACACATTCATCTGTTAACCAAGATGAATGCCTCTTGGCTCGGAGCAGAAAGCTATTTGTGAGTCGACACAGATGCTGACCAGCAGTAAGCTATGCAGGTCACAGTGACAAACAGCACAGCGCATGCTTTTCGGTGCTTTTAAGATCGTCTGAACAATGCTGACACTTCAGTGATTATTTCTGCATGGTTTCTAATTGGTGTCTGGCAGACAGGAATATAAGAAGCCGTGGGAAAATGTGATAGATACTCGACCCAGGATGAGAACAAAGACAAGCGCTGGCGCCAAAACCCCACTGGTTTTACAACTTTGCAAAAATTATCAGCATGTAAAATTTAGGAGCAAACATTTGCTAATATAGACGTCTTTCACTATATCCGTACTTTGACATTAACAGTATTTCTGTTAATTATCTTTTTGGCTGGTAAACCGCACTGAAAACACTTCTAAGGCATTCTTAAGTTACACTGCTTTCAAAAACTTAATTTAAATCAATTGAATTTTATTTATATAACACCAAATCACAACAACAGTTGCTTCAAGGTCTTTGTACTGTAAGTTAAAGACCCTACAATAATAAATTGATCTATATTTATTGTTCCTACATCCTTTTAGGAATTAAAACCCATGTTTGACCTTTAAAGCTATGCTTGTGTTTTGTTTCAAGGTTCTGTAAGATTATTCTCATTTATCAAACACTCAGTGGCTGTAAAGTTTATCACAGTGCACTAGCATGAGCGAGTCAAAAAACAGAGCAGTTGCAATAAAAAGTACCCATTACAGTATGCTGAGCATGGCTGTCAGTGAAGCAAACTAACAAATGGTGGAATGGCTTTAAACAGACATGTGCCTAAACATCTGTGTGTAACCACCTAAAACAGATCTAACCTCTAAACAACAATCAGCCAACAATCATCTTCTCTAAATATGCATCCATTCTCTTCTGCTTATCAGGGTCGCGGGGGGGGGGGGGGGGGGGGGGGGGGGGCTACCACAGGGTAACATCTGTATTAATGTCAAGGCAACAATGCTTTTGAATATTTTGATCTGCAACACAGACAACCCCCACTGAAAAAGAGCACCAGTCTGAAGTACAGTGATCAGATCAATGGTTGCTGAGTTAGGCAAAGAACAGACGGCGATCAATTGACTGTGATATGAGATATGAGATGATCAATGTTGCTCACCGGCTTTAATGCTGTGGCTGATCAGTGGTTTAAATGAATGTTCTTACCTGCTCAGTAGTAGATGCACTTCCATTTGGAACAATACTTCTAGTACTATAAGTTATAGTATAGCAAAAAGTAACTATTCCTGCTATTTATATTAGTAATAACAAAGGCAAAGTCCTGACAGAAGCGGGTCTTGCCATTCTGCTGTCATACTGATAAAACCTCCAGGCACTGGGACCTGACAGCAGCATGAACAGAATCACCAGTTAAATTTGAAAACTGCTTAAAAATTTGATAGCAAATCCTATTTAATGGCACATCTCGCTTTTATAATGTCTCTGGTAACAGGAAGAATAGATGTAGCATTTGAATTAAGTAAGGCTGGTGTATGTTGTAGGAACTTATGCTATTTAAACAAACGTCCTACAAAACTGGCGTCCTTCTAAATCACAGAGAAAGTGGTTGCTGCGTTGTTTACATGCTAAGATAAAACAAATGAGCACATGAGTTTGAACCCAGTGTCTTGCCGTCCATGCAGCAGTACCTCAAACCTTAAAAACCAAATTGAAGCGTGTGTTTTACCGGCTTGTTCAAACTCTACATCACAGCGACGCAGCAGGTGGGAAAGACTAAAGATGTTCTTTCAGCGCTGAAAACTGCCGCTGCTGTTCCAAAAATAATGAGTCTGCTCACTCTCTTCGACCTAATCTTCCCTTCACATGACCCACTGTCCTATTCAGCCCAAACCTGACAGACTCCTGCTGCTTAAAGAGAGCGATGGATGAGTTCCTACCTCTTTATGGTGGATGCCATTGTATTGACAGGGTTCCATGCCACACACTCCAACTGAGAGGTCATTTGATATAAATTTTCACCGCTGTGGAGGAAAGACAAAATGTAGAAGAAAAGCTCATGAGCTGTGCAGTGGACTGTCAAGCACCAGGACACGGTTGGGTGTATGTGTGTGTGTATTCACTCGCTTTTGTCGTCCGCTGTAGAAGCACGCTAATGAAAAATGCCAACACACACAAACACCCACACAGTCACAGGTGGAGCTGAGATTAAAAAATGTTCCTCGGACACCAAGAGAGCCAAATTATCTCATTACGGCCATCTTTCATTAAACACGGCAGACTCGAGAATCATTATTCAGAGCTGCCATGCGTTTAAATACCTCACGTGCACACACACACACACACACACACAATGGATTTATAGCTCTCACCCCTAACACCACAGTCCCTCTATTACACCACCTGCAGGCACATAGCAGTGTGGATGGGGTAGATGTGGTGCCTGGTACCCTGCTCGTTACACAGCTATTATTTTACAGTACAACAGGGGCACACGGCCAGCTGGGCCAAATGGTATATCTGCTGAAATACTGCTGGGATGGAGGTTCAGAGCAAGATTTAAAGCAGCTATCCATGACATTTTCAAATAAATATGTCTGCTTTTCTTCTCTCACTGGATCCATTGCTGACCATCTATTTTATGACCATTATCGGTCCCCTCCCCCTTTTTTTTGTTGTTGCCGTAACACCCAGCGTGTGTTACAGCAGGTGTTTCCTGGAAAAACCCTCCACTTCACAGTTAACCTAAAAAAGAATTTATCTTTTCTTCAGAATAAACAAACAGAGAATTTATCTCAAGAAGTGCCACAGAGGATCAAAAACAGCACAATTACCAAATATCTATAATTTTGATAATAACTATGTAGGCAGGCTTTTTGGATAGGGATGTACAAATCCAACTTTTTCCCACTTCCGACACAATACAGACACTTTGGCTGATTTGTCTAGGCTAAAATAATAAACTGAAGTGACTGGGAATCTAGGTTTTATGTTGAAAAGTAGAAAACAAATGCATCCAAGAAGATAAAATGATCTGAAGGGGTAAATTAATAAAGGTGATCGCAGTTTGAACAACATAGAACTGAACTGTTGAAATGTTGCCTCCATCTCAGTGAAGTGGATGTCAGTGGAACTCAGCATGAAGCACTCAACAAAACATCCACTCATGCTGTCTTCGCAACAATGGCAGTAACCATATCCAACTTCTTAATAGCAATGAACTGGTCTGCATTGGTGCATCATATCTTTATTCTCTTCCCCCTCCTGCCCCCCCCCCCCTCTTTCTTAAATAGATAACTATCATATCTGATATCATATCTCACAGTACAATAATATTGAATGGGTTGCATTGTTGTATTTTGTCATGTTTCTCAGGTCTTTGTCTGAATTTCTACGAACATTATTGCTAAGGATTGTCTTATTGCATTGGAGTCACACTGGGTTAAATATGTACACTTGGGTTTTAAGGGGTATTTATTATTTTCTTCTTTTTTTGGGTTGTATGGAAGCCCCAAACGCAATTTCATTGTTCTTGACAATGACAATAAAATAAATACTATACTACTTTTCAATGCATATCAAGCCTCTTTAACCATCATAACTAACAGTCAAACCTGGACAGTCATAAAAACCTAACAGTAACTTTAAAAGCATCCATTCATCCCACTAATAATCATATCGGCTTATAATAATAATGGATTGGATTTATATAGCGCTTTTCAAGGGACCCAAAGTGCTTTACAATACCACTATTCATTCACTCTCACATTCATACACTGGTGGAGGCAAGCTACAGTTGTAGCCACAGCTGCTCTGGGGCAGACTGACAGAAGCGAGGCTGCCATATCGCGCCATCGGCCCCTCTGGCCAACACCAGTAGGCAGTAGGGTAAAGTGTCTTGCCCAAGGACACAACGACCAGGACAGAGAGCCCAGGGATCGAACCGGCAACCTTCCGGTTACAGATATGCTTCCCAACCCCCTGAGCCACGGTCGCCCCTTATCAGTGCAACAAATCTGCCTAATGAGACATTGTATTGCAAAAAGCTATACAGATACAAATTGCCATAAACATTTAAGTAACGAGTGCAAAAAGAGCTTGTATTTCAAAGGTGTCAGAAGGAGGGGATTTCCAGACATATTTGAAAATGGTTCAGACAAACTGTGAATCGTGCTTCGGTGAGATGAAAAAACAAAATCTGCCTGAGCAAACCGAATAACTGAATATGCAAAGAGTGGCCCACTGCCACCCCCTCCACATGCACCGACTCCATGTGAGAAGTCAAATGACTCCTGAGGACACAAAAGTTTGGAATTCTGTGCAAATTGCCAAATTTCCTGTGTGTCCAAGAAGAGCCTGAGCATTTGTTTGCAGCTCAAAGATTACAGCAACTGTTCAGAACATGGTGTGCGATTTCATACACCTTGTACTCTTTTTTACTTTGATAAAAACCAGAGTGCCCCCCTGTCTGTATGCATTAATAAGGCCCGTGTTTTTATTTCATGTTGTTCCAGCAGCCTGCAGAGTAAATACAGGCCTGTTGGTACCAGGCTGTGAGATTAGACCACTGACTCATATGAGCCTTCCCAGCTATGAGAGCGCGTTCGAGTGGATATCAGTTATGTTTATGATTAAGACGTCCCTCACAGGGAGATTCTGAGGACAGCCTATGACCATACGTCTCTCTCTCACACAACTTTCCCTGCTGTGATATTCACAGAGAATTTATTACGTTGGTCCATCGATGGGGAACACTGAAGCAATGGCATGTGAAGAATGTTATATTTAGAAATCAGAACAAGAAAAACTTTAGCGAGCACACAGCCAGGAGACATACCTACTAAAAATGGTTCATGTATTAACCTCAGAGGAAGCTTATTGCCGCTAGTTTTTAAATGCATCTGTAAAAGAGCTGCACAGGTAGCTCTGTGTGGTGAAGGCTTGTGGAATATTTACATTAACATCCATTTTTTTGTTTTGTTTTTCTGTACTAATCCGACTTACAATAATTGCAGTAAATTATCAGGTACAAAATGGGCACAATGGCTACATTTTTAAGAAACTAGGCAATATTTTTATTTCTGGAATGTGGGTGGAGTGAGGGAGTAAAGGATGGGATTAAAGGTTAAGTTTGGGTGTGGCTGAAGGTGAAATACTTGTTGGTGGAGGAGCAGACTCACTATATGTACATGCAGAAAATTGCACACTTGGTATGTAAAAACATACCAAATAGAGTATTGATATTGGACAGAAAATTTCTAATCTTAGAATTCAGATATTTTCAGTCCCATTGCCACAGCTGTATAAAATCAAACACCTGGCCTCGCAGTCAGCCAAACAACTGTGAATGAATGGGTCGTTCTAAAGAGCTCACTGAATTCAAGTGTGGTACTGAAATAGGAAGTGAGCGTAGCAGCAAGTCAGTTTATGAAGTTTCTTCCCCCTAAATATTATAAGTATTACTGCAAAGTGAAGCGTTTAGCACCCACGGGAACAGCAGTCAACGTTACAGGGTGCGGTCACTGAGCGCTGAGGTGCTCAAACCTCCTCTGGCATTGACATCAGTACAAACACTGCGCACCAGGAGCTTCATGGCAGCAGCCACAGCAAAGTGTAGGTGGCCCAGTGTTTTTATCCATATAGTTGAAGACAAGGTCTCTAAACTCAGAATGTGCTCATGCTTTGTCACGACATGTTGGCAGCACGTTTCTCATTTTCCATCTTCACCACTATAACCAAGATAATCATGGAAGAGCTTGGTTTTTCCCCCAGCTGTTAAGTTTCTTATTTTCTGTCTTTGCTTGGAACATAAGAGCAAGTTTCAACCAATATTCACTTAGACTCGACTGAGTCAGGAGAAGCTACAGAACATTATTACTGACACCCATAAATAACGGGGGGAAAAAGCTTTTTTTCTCTTGGTACTTTTGTCAAATTGATTATGGGTGTGACCACAGTCACCATGGCTATCACAAATACAAAACTTCCAAGTCAAACTACAGTGTGCTGAGACCTGTCAGGGTCCCACAAGGAACTACTGGGTAAAAAAGTCACTGCACCAGTCATGTTTTAGACGTCACACTGGACAGCTCATCTAATCGAAAGTGAAAAGCGAGTCTTGCGCACTGTTGCTAAAAAGTCCTTTCATTAAATGCTGCAAAGCCCACTAGGAAAGCAATGAAAGAAGGTAAACTGGCCATCAACCATCGGTGGAGTTTCATGACAAGAAAACAGGCTTATAGCTTCGGTTCGTCTCAGCGGCTTGTTGAGTGGAAATATTTCTAGTGTTCCAGTCATTCATCTACTGCAGCAAATCACTGCTTTTGGAAAATGGCTTAATGTGATTTAACCTTATGTGAAGCAGTCTGCTGTCAGTGAAGACATTTCCTTTATTTTCTTCATTTTCGTTTTTATTGGATGGAAACAAACAGTTTTAACTTAAATGTAAGCGCTGTATCAACACGAGCTGATTCATATCGTAAAGATTAATGTAGATCACTCTGCAAGGCATTATAAAAGCACAAAGCCCTGCGCTGTTTCAATCAAAAACTCCCGCTAATGTTGCAAAATGATGTCAGAACAGTCGCAAGTTTAGAACCAGAGGATCTTACGAAAGACTCAGTGTGGAAGAAGCTCAGCCTTTTCGCGTCTTGCCACAATGTAACTGCACTTTATGACGAATTCTGCTTGGACGTCATCTGTCCTTCAGAGGAAACACCAGAGTGTCTCACAGCAATTAAAACCCCAGAAAGGTAGACAGTAAATCACTGACAATTATCCTCACAGAATAAGCATAAAGGACTTTCTTTATTTTAAACAATCAGTAAATCAGCCCATGCTTTCCTTCTGAACGTCCTAACACCGTTACTTACGGACTAATCTACACACAAAGTCACGACGATACATACACTGAGGATTTTCACATCACTTGAGGAATACTTAAATACTCTAATGGGTGCACAAAAACTGAAACAACCAAGAAGCTGCTAAAGGAAGCAGAACAAAAGCAAAGAAGGAAACTGCAATGGCAGGCAGACCTGTCCTGAAGGTGAACATCCTGTTAAGAACTGCATCCTGCTACCTTTCACTGAATTTAGTGCAACACAAAAACAATCAACAATGGTTTCTGAAGTATTTCCAGATTTAATTGCTCCTGATAGTTTGGTGTAAAAATAGATTTGATGATTTTGGTGGGTGCGCACTGCAGTGCATGAGGCATGTGAGTGTTACCTGTTGTAAGGATTCCTCAGAAGCAGAGCCTGGCTGCTCGTACAGCTATCTGAAGGTGTGTGACACCCATAGACAGGAGGAGGTACAGGATACTGCTGCTCACCTATAATGCCCACACAGATACACAATACAGTATATAATGTGGGTAGTTATACATTAAAAAAAATATGGCTTTTGCAACAACAAAAAAGACATAATGTGAAGGTTAAATTCCTCAGCAGTGTTTCTTTTGTGGTCTCTCTTTTCCCCCAGATTTCTTCAAATGTTAAGATCTTTCTCTCTCTGTCAACGGCTCCCTTGACATTTCTGAAAAATCCCTCTCTCTACTCTAATTCCCGGCGTAATCTTTGCTGTAAAAATCATTGAAAATTTACAGCTACGGGTCCACAAAACACCCCTATTTAAATATTTACAAATACCATACAGAGGGGAGGGATTAAAGACAGAAGTGGGTGGATGAAAGGGGTTTGTCAGTCAGGATGTGGCTGATTTATACCTCTGACATGCAAGGTCAGGGCCGAGGGACCAGAATAGGGGACAAGACACTCCCTAGGTGAGGGCCTTTGGGCTGCCATACACACAGCTGTGCACTCACACAGAATTAAAACGCACTGAAACGTCTATTTTTGTTCCAACTGGCAGAGACTCTGATGCATTGTTGTTTTGAGAAAGATGGAAAAATAATGCATTTTTGGATCTGCACAAATGTTATCTGAGCAGTTGTCCTACAAAGGCAAAAGACCTGCAGCAACTATGTAACTATGTGCTTTGGTATAAGCTTGCAACAAAACAATTTGTAAAAATTATAATTGTGATTAATAAAAAAAAACAGAAAGTGTAACAACTATGAGTCATTTAAATTTTCCCTTGCAATTCCCTGCAAATGGAGATATATATGTGTGTATATATATATAAGTCTGTTTATTTCAGAAGACTAAAAGACACCAAAACAAACAAAAAACTTTTTTACCATTTGAGCACATATATTAATATGGGGGTGGGGGGGGGGGGGGGGTTAGAAAACCTAAAAGGTTTTTAAATATTTTCACTATAAATAGTTAGAATAAAATTAACTTACTTAAGCAAAACAAAAAATTTTGATTAATGAATCTCAGGAAGAAAACTCCTGTTTACATGCTGAGACATTTATCAGGAGAGACTGAATTCACAGGGCGCGTCGGCACGCCGAAAGCCACACTCGCACATACCCATCGTGTTCTGCTGAGTTAAAGCGTCTTCATGTTTGAAGGAGTGGTTGGAGAACTGCGAGCTGTGGTGTGTAGGAGTGTGACCATAATTACCGGCTCCATCGAATGCAACTGCGCTGTAACCTGCAACACAGAAAGAAAAATAAATACATAAAAACAGGCGGAAATCCATAACAGTGAAACACGATGACATGAAACTAAATACAACAGCATAGCTGCATTTGTGAATCTGGTAATAAAGGTAAAGTAACCAAAGAGCCGCATGCAGAACAAACGACTTATAATAAACTCATAAGATTATCACAACAAGGCCTTCATGATTAAAAACAAGAATTTTCTATATTAAAAAAAATTCCTTTTTCTTGTTTTTGCGATGAAGAAATAAGATTAATAAAAAAATCCTCATAAATGACCATTTCAGCATATATCCTTCTACAAGCAAAATGAATATAGACTAAAAAATGCCACCAAAAGGTGAGTGCATCACTGAACGAAACAGTGATCATACATGATGCTCATTTTCATGAACATCAACGCTGATACTTTTATTATTGACAGTCTTGCAGCACAGATCACTAAAAGAGGAAAAGATCAAGGTAACATTTATGATGAAGACCATCAAAGTCAGCCAAAGTCATGAAATGTGAAGCACCGGGCAGAGATGTTCACGCATCAGTGTAAGGCGAGAGAAAAGTTTGCTTTGCACACATACGTTAAAAAGCAGTACAGACTCATTGCAATCATCCTACTTTGAGATTTTGAGATTCAGTAATATAATTATGTCAATTATTATTTATTCATTTTTTCCACTTTTTAGGACGTTGCAGGCCAGACTATGATCTAGAGGACCAGCTCGGGCACTTGGGTTGTATTTATGTATTTTCTCTGCTTTAAAAGATGAAAATAAATCACTCAAGTTATGATAAAACCAGTGAAAAAAGGAGGTGAAGAAGATTTTCTGGGTTTTTCTTTGTTTCTACACATAAAACATGAGACATGTTAAATGTTACACCTTAAGCTTCCCTTACTCGTTTTTTTTTTATAAAGTTACAGAAAATTTGAATTAGCCTCATTTATGACTTTATTCTCCATTCGATTAATCTTATTTTCACCACTGGCATAATATGCACACACTCAAACACACCGACTTCTGTTGAGAGAGATCCGTGCCCGACAACCCAGACTAGACCTGACTCATGACTTAGACTGGCCTAAAGGGCACGACACACTGCCATAAATCACCCATGCACGCACGCACACACACATTATCTCTCACATGCACGCCTCATTAATTAAAATACAGCACTTTCACCGACTTTACCCTGTAAATCGGTGCTTGAGAGGAGAGGCGGAGGGGGACGAGAAAAAAACTCATTAAACATCTCCATTTGTCTTCTTCCCTGTCTGAGTTTTCTCTCTCTGCATATGTTTGAGCGTGTGTGTGTTCATCCATGTATTGGGACATTTTTGTTGCCTCCTTGAAGTCTAGCACTGAGGTGAGAAGAGATGAGGTCAGCTGGAAAACTCTGGAAATACCCCATATTGTCTTCTTCTTTTTTAATACTCAGAGTTGTAAATAAATCTTCAAATGGATGATTGTGGAAATCAGCTTTACATATTAGGTGATCGTCAGTATGTATTTATGTGTTATCTAAAGGTTAAATATATGGCAATAAGTACAGTAAAAGTTGTGCTGTAAAGTTGAAGTGTTTTGGTAAAATTTATTTTACTTTTTGTTTGTTTTGTTGTTCAAATCACACAAAAATGTCAGAACATGACAGAAAAACAGAAAAGCGGTGTGTGTGAGTGTGTGTGTGATGGTCCCTGTGTGACCCCACTGTGCTATCACGCTCTACTGTGTGACCCGAGTCCTGCTGTTGGTTTGTTTGTCTGTGCTCATCCAGCCACAGCGGGGAGCAGATAAAAACAGGTTAGAGGTCGGCTTGGCGCTTTGATTGCTGTGTTATTCCTAAACGATCTGCTTGATAAGCACGTTATTACTAATTAATCAGTTGGGTAATCACTAACAGATGAATTTTTCTGCCTGAAATGAACATTTACAAAAACAAGAGTTTAGGGTGTGATACTCAGAAGGTATGAATCCCACTGTTGACTTTGGACACGCTTCAGCTCATGGTTAATTACTGAACTCTAGTCTGGTTAAAATGATGGATTTTACTGGTTAAATGAGATGATGCACAAAGCGTGGTTCAGGTGAATATAATTCACAGAAAAATTCACAGAAAAAAATGAAACTTTATATAATTTACATGCGAACGTGAAAATAATAATGGAAAAATGTTTAAAGATGTTAACAGAAAAGTGTTTTTGTTCTCCGAATAAAACACAAATTGAAATTAAATCTAAACAACCAGGACTAAACTGAGATGTGAAAAACCCTCGACTCCAATGGCAAAAATTACGAATTCGAACTAACTCAGTGGCGTATTTAATTATAAGTGGATCATGCTGATGCACGTTGCTGCAGTCATGCATTTATTACACATTAAGCAGATGTTTAAAGAATTATAAATTACAATTGCCAAATCTTTGACATTTATTAGACCAAAATACTGTTGTGCTTGACAATCAGATTTTGTAAATGAATTAAAACATTTCAGACAAAATTTTATTTACCTTAAAAAGTATGAAACGGTAATTTTATATAAAATTTCATATGAAGCACTGCACCTGGAATTATGATATTTTCAGAGCTATATTATGAGTAACACATGACATGTTATTTTATATAAAAAGTAAACCTTCCAAAAATTAATTTATAAGGGCGTCAGACACAAAAGAAAAGAATGATCATAATTACTGTAACCCTATTTAAAAAATTCAGTGACTGCGATTAAAAGCAAGATCAGATCCAAAGAAGTTCATGGATGTGATCTTTTAATGGGCCGTTTGCACAGGACACACATCTGTGGCTTAAACATTAATGCCTACAGCTCGAATGCTTTTAACGCCACCTTTTCAGAAACAAACAGGAGTCTTGTACTAGCTGGATCGCCTTTCTACAACTTGTGTGTGCTTTTAAGAAGATGTCAATGTTTGTAACGTGCTTGGTCGTATCAGGCCGAGCCAAGATTTCGAGCCAGAGAAGGAACACGTCAGCTGATTTAAACCACATGAAATCATTTTTGGTGATGTACTAATGACTGACAGATTTGTCAGAGAACTTCAGATGCATATACAGGGGGTAAAATTTGTAAAAGAAAATGTGCTAAGTTATAGAAAAGTGACCTTCACCTTCTGAAGCACCTTCTGCAGAAAGTAGAAAAGATTTATGTTGAATTGAATGATAAAAAAAAAATGATACCAAGACTTCAAGCTGCATCTGTCAAAAGTTCTTGTGAAAGAATTGACAGTTAAATTGGTGATGTTCTAACACCCAGACTCACACCCTACCTGTCTGGTTGCGGGCCGCCTGCTGCGTGTCCATGCAGTTGGTCAGGTATGGCGGATTGCTGAACATCCTGCTGGGGGGCTGGTGGTGGTGCGGGGCGGCCACGGGTGGCGGTTGGCTCGGGGCCGGCGGAGGAGGTGGTGCCCCGAACGCCGCACCGTACCTGCAGGCCCCAGTCCCTGTGAACTGGCCCGAGAAGTGGACGGTAAAAGCACTGAGGCAATGGGGATCTGCATCGTGGTGGTGGGGGTCACCAGCGGCCCCCCAGCTGGGCTCCTGTTTGATGAAGGAGTGCGCCCCCAGGGAAGAGTGGGGAGCAGCCAGAGAGGTGTAAGGGGAGGGGGCAGTGTGGAAGTCCAGGACAGGAGCCCACTGAGGGGCCGTGCTGACGGGAAGGGCCGGGCAGCCAGGGCTGGGGCCCGCCGGGACCGGGGGCAGCAGGGAGTTTAGGTCGCGTACATCTGAACCCATCGCGGTCCAGGGGAGAGAACTGGGATAAAGGAAGGCTATTTTTAAATTCGATCCGTCTCCCTGTGTCCACCTTCTTAATCCTTGGGAGTCTTTCAGTCACTTTAAGGAGTACGTCTTCTTTTTCTCAGCTCTTCTCTGAATCAGTCGTCTACGACACCACACACAGGCGCTCTGGAAACTCATCAAGTCTGACAGAAGTACAGAAGTTCATGGCGACACAGCACAGTCTCTGCAGCCAAGTTTCTCAGCAAAAGAAGAAGAAAAAAGAAGAAAAAAAAACAGACAGATTGATCAGTGGTGATCTTCAGTTTTCGTCCACAACAGCAGAAAGCAAGTTTTGGCTCGGAGAGATGGGGTCCATTCAAGAAGGAGCTCAGAGCTTTCTCTGTGAATGGAGAAAGAGGAGTGAGGAGGAGTGAGGAGGAGTAGCCCTCTTTTCCCTCCACTCTCTGAGCTTGTGCATGTGTCTGTGTGTGTGTGTGAGGAGGGTGGAGGGGGTGGAGTCAGGAGGTGATGAGGGAAAGCACCCTCTGACTTCATTCATCTACTGAACAGTCACTCTGATGCAAACAAATAAAGCCAAACTTTGACCTCAGTCACACAAAAATAAAATTTTAACCACGTGCTTTTCCTGTATTTAAAAAATCTGGGAACAAAAATCTTCAACAAGCATAATTTTCTAACTATTTGTTGAAAGACAATAGCCCAAACTATAAGTCTATTTTATTGCTGACAGGCCGATACAGTAGCTATTTTGAATGCATTTAATCAAGCAGCATTAAAAAGGATTTTATTCTGAAGACGACTTAAATATTTCGTAAAGAATAAACTCACCTGTGACAAAGGAGGCCCGGCCCGGAGTCCGCTTTAAATAGAAACGAATCAACCTTCCTCCTCCAGACTGAAAATAAATGCAGCATTTTACACGGATTAAAATTATTAGACAATATTAAATTATTATAACATCTGATTTATCAAATTTTTTTTGCTGTGTTTAAGTACAAACCGGGGCGGGGTTACGGTCTAATTTAAACGGTTGTGCACGAACGCCCCGCGCGCCAATAAATCATGTCTGACTGCAGCTTTTAAGGCCCGCTGCTGTATTTATCTGCGTTTTCCTATTTTATTTACTCTGTTTTCTTAATTGTATTCGTTGAAAAGCTGTCGACATATTAAAATCACACGAACACTAAAATAATAAGAACTGTGACGCCTCAGGTTTTCAGCCGAAAGGCCAGAAAAAGGGAAATCATCACTGAGAAATGAATAAATACATAAATAAATGAACGGAGACGCGCGTGTCAGTGGTTTAAAATTTAATGTTTCGTCCATACAACGAAAACACATTTTAACGGCTCACCTTACTGCTAACATTCATCAGTTTCCTGCTTGGGAATAATGCGATAAGAGTTCCCAAAGTGTGCGTGAAAAGTCCATTTATCTTCAACTCTCCACGTTTGCGCGTGCTGGTTGCACGTGGCAACAACGGCCTTTCCCGTAATGCAAATCTATGTCTTTTCCACCTGCGTCAAAACGACGAGAACACAGTGCTAACCGTGTCTGACCTCTTGATAGACTAACAAAAGTGCGAAAGAAAAAAAAAAGGAAAAAATAAATAAATTATTCAAATTAAAATGCCGGTAATGTATTTTCCCTGCGTCAAAACCTTTTAAAAATGCACTTATTTCCGGTTATTAATCCGGTTATTAGCCATTAATACGACTTCCTTCAAGTGCTTTTGTTTTCAAATTAATTCGTTATTGCTCAACTGCATAAAAAACAAACAAAAAAATCTAACATCACAACTAACTGTGCAGGGGCGTTGTTAGCATTTTCTTTAAAGAATCAAGTGGCACAGGACACTGTGGGGAACCAGGAACAGAGTTTATTTTCTTCCACAGTGGAAAAAACACAACTAGGCTTGATTTTCTCGCTGGTGTGCAGCCCTGTGCTCTCTTACAGGTGGTATCAAATGTGTGGGTGCACAAGAATTTAAACATTGCTCGGTAGTGAGTGGGAAGTTTTTAGATTTTTTTTTTTAAACTCATAATGATAATATTAAGGACTATGACAAAAAATCATAATCCTAAAAAGAATGTTAATACTGAAATATTTACATATCAGAGACTACCAACTGAAGTCTCTGGGGACCCCGAGAATAAATTACTGTCAGCAGCAAATAAAATAAATTTAAAAACCAGAAGAGCAATTTAGTTGTGTGATTAATGAAATTGTAGTGAATAATGAAAACTATTATTATAGTAATATCAAGGCAAAGTTAAAAAATTATTGCACACACTTTTTTTAATTTTCACATTATTACTTAACAGCTTATTTACCGTCCTTTGAGTCTGGTATCACTGAGGTTTCACTCATTTCAATATAAATATTATTCCTGCTGTTTTTTTATTTTATTTATAAACACCAGACAGGACCTGACCTATTAGGCATCCACGAGGCATCCAAACCACCTCAGGTTGCTCCTTTAAATGAAGAGGAGCAGTAGCTCTACACTGAGCATTAAGCACCAAACTCTGCACCCTATAGGTCTGAGCCCAGACACCTTTCAGAGGAAACTCATTTCAACCACTAATAAACACAGTCGTATTTATTCAGTCACTCATGACCACAGGTTGATCCTTGTAGTTCAATAGCTTAGCTTTTATCTTAAGCTCGCTCTTCACAACACACCTGTACAAGATCTTTCTGTCATTCTCCCACCCTGTTCTCCTCTCGCTTGTGAACAAGACCTTGAGATCTTGAGATTTCCTCCACTTGGCGCAGCAACTCATCCCTGACCCAGAGTAGGCACTCCACCCTTTTCCAGCTGGGAACGGCGTCCTCAGACTTGGAGGTGTTAATTCCCATCCTAGTGCTTCATACTTACCTGCAAACCACCTGAGAGTAAGGCTACATCCACACTAGACCGGATAGATTTGAAAACGCTCCGCGTCCACACTATCAACTTCAGTCGTTTTCACAGAATTGTGCGTCCACATTGAAACAGCCAAAAACGCTTACGTTCCAGTACTGCACATGCATGAAACGGGAGACGATTCGACCTGCCTCATTTCTGTCTGCCGCTTCTTTACTTTCCAGCTCTTTGAAATGTCGCGGCAAAATGTTGAGGAAAAGCACAGAGTTTTTTAAATGGACTAACAATGAGGTGGAGTTGTTGCTGCAAGTAACACAAAAGTACAAAGTTGCAAAAGCGAGTGAGAATTAAAGAATTTGAAGAAAAGCTATCTGAAGCATATACAGACTGATATTAATCTTTGATAGGGCTGTCAAAACTGAGAGCAAACAAAACAACTGCTGTATAATGCCCTTGTATATAAGTTTAATTGGTCACTTGACTGCATCACATGACTAAAATGTGTCAAAAACTCCTGTGCACTGCCACGCGAGCACCGTTTTCAAATGTATGCGTTTTCGGGAGCGTTTTCAAAACGCTGCGTTTTCGATCAGCGAAAACGTCGTCTCAGTGTGGACGGGAGGCCCAAACGATGCGTTTTCAAATGAAAACGCATTAGTGTGGATGTAGCCTAAGTGGAGGTCACCACCTGATACACCTAAGAGAATCACATCATCTGCAAAAAGCAGAGATGAGTCCACTGAATCTGACACCCTACGCCTCTTGGATATGCTAAGAAATTCAGCCCATTAAAAGTTATGAATAGAGCCTCTGACAAAGGTTAGCACTGATGGAGACCAGTCTGACATTTTGTTGGCAACAAGTACCAGACTTTGACTCTCAACTAAAAACCGATGAAGCTAAAGACATGCTACAGGCAGGCAGAGCACACAGTTTGCCTCATGCTATGTCCAGGGCAAGCTGGTATGTGACAGTTGCTCTCTGTGTTTCAGGACCAAAGGTAACACCTTTATGATGTAAACCTTCCAGCTGAGAATTGGACAGCAACATCAGCACACGCATCACTCCCAGCAGGGTCACTGCCGCCTGGACTGGGCCTTGCAGTGTAACAGTACCAACTCTCTTTTTCCATGTGTGACATGACCAGGGCATGCCCCAGCTGTGCCGGGTAGAGTTGGTGGGGCCTTCAACCTTCTGATGATTTCCGTTTTACAATTTGAATTCTTTTTATATTGCTGGGTAGGTGTGTCTATGTTTGAAAATCTAAATAAAGTATGTAAAATGATTAAAAACTAGCATAAAATAAATAATATGGAGGACAAATGATACATTTTGGAGTAGAAGCAGGAAGAAGAAAATACTAAAAAGCACACAGGTATGACCAAATTTGTACCTTAGTAAAGTATTTAAAGTGAATGTAATAAATTACATTTCCACTATGGGCCTATCCATCCTCCATTCCACTTCAACGTCACTGTTTGTGGAGTGGGCTTTTATTTTGGGTGGGAGCCAGTGACACCCAAGGCCCTCCCTCTAGACGCACCTCTGTCACCACGTATTTGTTAATTTAGCTCTTAACGCCTACATCACCAATCAAAAACCAATATTGGCAGTTTACACTGCTATTTCCAGGAGAGAAACTCTTTTCTTCTCCCGCCTCCCACATTTCAGCCACGCCAACTTCCGCATGTTACAAAGTGCGCTAAGCCACAAGAAACAAGCTCAAGACCAGTTTATGACCCTGCGGCTATAATTTTGGATGACACAAAGACACAGAGGGGGAGAGAGAGGAGGACGACTGTGATGAAGTGCCTCCACACTGCAACAGAAAAAGTCATTCACAAAGACAGCGCTTCCCTATGCTAGCTCCACCCTGCATGGGATTAAGTGCAGAAAAATCTGTATGTAGTGTATATTTTGAAATGTTCCTTAATTGAGGTCAGGGTGACACAACACTGTTGAGTAGAGTCAGCTTGCTCACACAGATAAACAATTTTCTGTCATATGTGTGTCCTAGATTCCAAACGCTCATATTAAACATGTTCAAATGTCAAATTATGTCATTGCATGTGTAAGTAATCTGTTACTTGCACAAATAACCTGCGACTTCTGATTGCTCCAAATTGGAACAGAAATCCTGGCTCTATACGGTTCCTGTAAGAGCAGATGTATTGTCATCTCAGGCACTGCTCCAGAAGCTCCGCCCATCTGCTGTTAAAATAATTTGCTTGCTAGAGAGAGCCAATCTGAAGACACCGGCTTTGTCTTTGTTTCCGATAGTGGATTAACTGAAATCCTACTCCAATGCCCAGTATAAGATAAATAAGGATTATTTTAAAGTGTGAATCATGCAAAGCTACTCTAATAGCTCTACACCTCTGCTAATTATCGTGATAAAATATATCTACTGGGCCAGTGTATCCAATGTGAAATGTGAGAAGATTAAGAATATTGCAAATACGTATATTTTACTTTTATAATTTTAAGATAAAAACGAAAATTATGTATCATAACGGAGTGGATCTCTTTTCAGCATCAGTA